TTTCACATATTTTTAATTGATTCTTTCGAGTGGAATGTTATTAAGCAGACGCGATTTGCAAATGCAATTAATAAAGTTATGTAAAGCAATTGCGATATGACTTTAATTGCCAATAAGAAAGTACTTCCATGTGTACATATATGTACATATGTAAGTAATTATCGCGACTTTAGTGTAGAATACACCGCTTATCCAGCACGAATACTCATAGGAAAAAATGTAACTTAAGCACACTCACCACCCCAGAGCTTTGCTTAGACAGCACTGCGTATATGTAACCTGCATTAGTTAACGCCAAATCGTTCCACTGCCTGTTAGCGAATTATGTATGTACTACGTATATGGTTACACCGGACAGGTAGTCAACCACAAATCGAAATCGGATACCAAATTCTAATTGGTGTTGGTTATTGTAAGCACTTTTTTCTTTTTTTTTGTACTTATATTTAGTACCGACGCTTATTGTTTTTGTTGCCTCTCCTATGCACCCAACCATGATTATATTACAGCTAAACGTGGTTGTTGTTATTGTTTTTGCATTTAGTCAACTTGGTTATCGCCATTGTTAGTGGCAAGCATTGGTGTTGTTTTGCGGCGGTCTGCCATTGTCACTGTTATTTTTGCGGTTTACAGAACATGTATTTAAGTATGTGTGTACATGTGAACGCATGTGTGTGCATGGGAGAGTGAGGTTGTGTATGGAAGCGGTAAATTTCATACAGTGTTGTTGTATTTATTTGTTTATGCATTGACCACAGCTCGCGGCTCCAATTGCAATTACACTGCACTATACATACATACATGCCGACATTATTCTTGTTACGTTATTTCTGCGCTTCTTTGACTAGATAACAGCTGTGATAGAGTTTTGTTAGCTCTATATATATATGTATGTATTATACATGTGTATCTACATATAATATTGTTACGAAATGTGATACCAGCGTTGATGTTTCTCATACGAAGTTTAAAAATTCTCTTACAATTATTAGTTTCTGTGGTAATTAACTTCCATTTTTCAATTTACACATTGGTTCTGGAACAGGTTGTTATCTATCTTTCGCTTAGAAATAAAATAAAGAACTGAGTTTTTTCCATCGAACTGAGTCACTGAAACTACATACCACACTTTATTTAATGCTTGAAGGATCATAAGCAAATATTCTAAATAATATTTGTTTTTCTATTTTTATTTTCCGAGTAATCTCTGGAACCATTGAGTCTGCAAATTCTTTTACTTATATGTATTTACAGAGCTACGGTAATCTCGAAATTTGAAAGGTCCACTTGGCACCTTGCATTCAAACTTTATAGTAGTTACGAGTACTGAGGGCATTTTATCAATGCCATGGAAATTTTGAGAACCTTTCGTAGAACTTCCCTAAAAAGTAACATATTTACGCAGCGAATCCTTGGAACCATTTAAAACTTAAATTATATAGAGACTGTTTAAGCGACTGCTGCTTTTTTCGCGATCAAATACCCGCACTTGACTGTAAAAACCGATTCGCTCCTCGCTACACATAGTGAAGTAATAAGTTGCTGGCATTTCCAGCCATGGTCAGCGCTTACCAGCTTGGCTACCACATAGTGCTTTAAGCATCGCCCTCACTCCATTCCCTAAGTCAGCTAGCGCATGACTGCTCTAATGGTGTCGGCTAATTTATAAATGGTAAAAGGGTCATATCTTGCGCTACCGCTTCATCGGCCTGCCCACATATATGTATATCTCTCTCTCTCTCTCATATCAGGCATATGAAGTGCGTGGTTGACTTGATGTGCGTCTATAAAACATTTGGGCTCATTGAGCTGATTTATATAAATAATACTCGGCTCAAAGGTAATACCTATCTCCTCTACTCCTCTATCTCGATCCCAACTCTAAACCCAGTTTAGACTGTCTGCCTGTCTGTATGGTTGTGCGCTTCACTCAAAAACTAACGCATGGAATTGAATTCAGTTTTAACCAACTTAAAATATAGAAAAAAATTAGAGAGTTGCCACCTGTTAGTAAATTTCACTTTAGGTAAATTTATACGATAAAGCAAATGTTGAAGTGTCGTTGTCAAACGAAAGAAGTTTAAGAAGTACTACAGCCGAAAGTATGTTTTTGTAAGGTTGCCACCTGTTAGAAAATTTGAATTTAATTTAATTAATAAAATAAATTAAATATTGTCATTTGGGCATCAAACTGAAAAGGCTTGGGAAAGTTTACTCCCGAAAATATTTTTGAAGCGGGTTGCCATATGTTTGAAAAATGATATTTAATTAAATTGATAAAATAAATTTAATATTACAACATAAGTTTCAAACTAATGAGGTTTAAGAAAGTTTACTGTCAAAAATATTTTTGAAGCGGGTTGCCACCTATTTGAAACATTTATTTCGTTTAAATCGATAAGATAAGCTGAATATTACAATATGGGTATCAAACGAAAGTATTCGAGATATCTTTGATTTAGAAATATCTTCAACTAGCAAATACCGCGCGTGCTACGCAGCGTCTTCAAAATATTTTTCTTTTATTACTCCCTCTCAAAACATCTAAAACTAATAGCTTATACATACAGTATTATTTGCAAAGTAGGCAGATTTTTTCAAATTACAAAAAAAATACAACTCCGCTCTTTAATAGAAAAAACCTTTTAATTTAGTCTAATAGATAATACAGATAATATCACATACATATGTATATACATATATACGTAGATGAACCTCAATTACAGCGTGCGACAAAACCCAAAAAAAATTTCAAAACACACGAAACTACGGGCCATCTCTCTGACGGATATGATTAACCCAAAATATTAGTTCAAAAATTTAGTGCAATGTAATATGACAACATGGGTATAAAATAAAAGAGAATTAAAGATAGCTTCCCTGCAAACCAAAGTTCCCGAAATCTTTAAGAGTATCTCATTTCTGTAACGAGATTTTTACGAATTTTCAAAGAAAATTATATGAAGTGGTTGGCACGAACTCGTAAAAAAATTTCTGTACGAAAAATAAAGAAAATTCTTGAAAAATTCTGAAAGATATTCTTCACATAGCAGCATTAATTTCGTTGCTTCACAGATTTTCTTCCGAAATTTCGTAAAAGAATGGAAGTGTGCGTAATTTATTTTATTTTAGAAAATTCGGCAAAAAATCGAATTAAATCTTAACGAATTCTTTAAAATTTCTTTACAATGCAGAATACTCTGAAAAAATGGTTTGCAGGGTTGAGAATTTTTATTATTTTATTTGTTTGCGTAGGTACTTGTATTTTTTTTAGTAGGGAGTTGTAATTTGCTGAAACGCATCGTGGTCAACCAAAAAGTGAATTTTGGAATTTTTGTTAGCTAAGGACTTTTGCGTTTCAGTAACAATGTTAGTTACAGCTTTTTGCACTTCAGGTGACAATACGAGCCACAAAACTACTTAAATATTACTTAAATCTAAAAATAAAATATATATACATATTTTTTAATATTATTGGTCGATTTTTATTCAACTTTTAAAGAAAACAAAACGAAAATTATTCAAAACGGAAAAAGATATTCACAAATGTTATCAATAACAAAAAGTGCCGACTTTGCGCTGGGACTGATTTTCCTTTACTTGCAAAATTGATCCATTGACGATGATGATGAACACTGGTGAAAACAGTCGGCTTTCCGTTTTCTCCACAATGTGAACCCCACGAAATAATAGCGGCTGAATGGCCATTGCAAATCAACGGACCACCGGAATCACCACGGCAAGCATCGATATCCCACTCATTCTCTCTGCCAGCACAAAGCATAGACTCATGAAAAGTGCGTGGATAGGCTTTTCGGCAATATTCATAGGAGAAAATTGTTACATTTGCTACTAAAGCATTCGCCGAATATGGGCCACGCTATACAGACGAATAAGAAGACAAGACGAGAGAAAGTTGTAGTAGAAAGTTAAAGATTTTTTTTTTTAACTTGACAACCGCTGCAGTTTTCTGTGATCAACTCTAAGCTAACGCGATTCCCAACAAGGTTATATTTGGATATATACATACATAAATATGTATATGGATACTTACAAAAAATATCTGACCCCAGCCAACGATTTGACACACGGTGCCGGGAGTGACAAAATCATTGATCAGAGGTATTACTTTGATGTTGTCATTATCGTCTGGAAAGCGTTTAGCCAGCAACAAAAGCGCAATATCATGCACTCCTTTCCATACGAATTGATTGTGTGGTAGGACCTTTTGCACCTTGCGTTCAACAGTGGTCGAAATTCTAAGTAAACGATTCGGAGCGCCAGCAACGACGAGCAGGCGATGCGGACGAGTAACCATCTTACGACGGCTAAATCATTTACAAAATTAGCAAAGAACTGTCTAATAAAACTAGTGAATGAATTGCGAAACTGACAATCATCCACACTTCATCTACTTACTCAACAACGCAATGCGCCGCAGTGAGCACCAAACGTTCTGAAATTATGGAGCCAGCACAAAAGTGATTATCACCAAAATATGCAGTCGACCGGGACGTGCGTATGGACACAACATACTTGGATAGTATATTCTTTTCGGGTCGATAGCCGCCAGCGATAAGCATTACAGGTTCTCTATGATCCACCGTAATATTAGGAAGCCTTAAGTCCTTTGGCAATTCAATATCGTCACTATGATCATGTTGTTTGCCGAAAAAGGGATACGCGGCACTGTTATTGTTGGTGTTGCCGAATGCCCGCGCATTATTTGCGAGCTGGAGCAGCAATAAAAGGCAGCAGCAGCAGCAGCAGCAAGTATGCGAGAATGGAGAAGATACCGACATTTCATTCTTTCAGATATGCAATTTCGCATTTTACAATATCGGTTATGTCACATTTGGTTACAAAAAGCACATAGGGTGTCGTAAGATCGGAACAAATTGGAGAGTGTGCAGAAAGAATGAAATATATGTATACATATTTCATAAAAGTTTTAACGTTATTGCAAATATACTACATACATACTTACATATGTACACGAGTATCACCAAACATAGATGCATAAGTTGTGGTATACTCAATGAAAAGTCTAAATCTGCTACCAATTAGTCCGTGGCTTTATTTTCGAGCTTTTCGTATGCCAAATTCCAGTGTTGCTCAAGGAGATCATTCTCCATAGTACCGACTCTCTGCGTCTTACTACCGAACACGCCACCACTCCCTTTGGGTGTAGCTCCCATTACGATGAATTAGATGGAAATTTAGTGCTTCTGATGCAGGCAGGATTACGGTGCTCCAGTTTTTCACGAACATGTCACTATTTGTACACTATTTGGTTCGTTTTGAGAGCTCAACCAGCCACCGATGGAGCGTCGTTTCGTACTTGCCGTCCATATAAATATGTCAAATTGCTGTTGATAGAGAGAGAGAAGCAACGACAACATCACCATCCATAACATAATTTAGGTCATGCCAGCTGACACGGTATATGATTTTCGTCGGTGCCTGGTTGAACACGAATGTTTATCATATATTAACAGAGCTGTGTAATGATTGAATCAATTGAGTGTGCATTCTCATTTT